TAGGCAGAAAGCACCTGCACATAGGCAGGTGCTCAGGTAATTACAGAAGCATGGCAGCTTTTGACAACAAACGGTACCAAGGCAGTCTGTATCTCAAGGAGCTATTTTAACAGTTAAAGTCACATTAACAGACAAGTGACACGCAAAATTCATTCTCTCTGCCAGGGAGCAAATTTAGAAGGCTGACATATAACCCCCATGAAAACGACAACAGCGATGGTTACTCAAAGTCCTGCCAGGTGCCCTTTAATAAGCAGAGAATGAGATTAGTGCAGCAGTGCAGAGACAGCATGCTGCAACATGATTCCATGCTGCTCTGCCAGGAATCCTTACAATAGAGACCCTGGCTGCACTGGGATTTTTCATGCATAATAAATAAAGCAATAGAGGATCAGACTGAGGCTCCTTGCTGAACACCAGTGCCCTCCGCTGTGTATGCTGGAGTTTCCTCCAAACGCTATGCCAATATGAAAAGAGAGAATTTATGATTTTCTCTTTGTGACAGCATGCTGAGCACCCCTGGGACCGAATGACTACATCTGCTGCTTCAGAGGGCTGCTGTGAACATCTTAATAATGCTGCCACCACAGCAAAGATCTGCCCAGCAGCCTCTCCCAATTGGTTCTCGCTCTGTCATAGAAGCACGCCTTTCACAGTCTGTTACAGTGCTTCCTCCACTGATTCTCTTTACAATAATTTAGTTGGACTCACAGAACTTCACTAAATAATGTTAATTATTGTTTTTGTTATTGACCTTGTTAATAACGAGGCAGCGGCTCCAACAAAAGAACCCTTCAGCTTTCTCATTCCAAAGAATGTGAGCAAAGCATGCACGATGCCACCGCTTCCGTGACCACTTCAGGATGCTTATCACCAGTTCCCAAACAGTTTGAGTTTGTCATTTTGATCACATCTGTTTTCCAGTCCATAACTGTTATGTTCTTCCAGCATAACAACATAAGAAGCAAACATTAACAGACGATGGAGTAACTACTTTTAGTCTCTCTAAAGATACTACACACTTTACTCCAGGGGATTTGAAGCATTACCTGCCACTTGAGAGGAGATATATTTTTTTCCTCATGTTTCCTTGATGAAGAGTGTTATTCTATAAAAACTTAGTATTGCTGTGCACTCCAAAATGACATCTTGCAGCTTCAGAGGAACGTGAACACCCCTGTCAGGGTATCTACAGCAGTGTTTGCATGTGAGTCACAGATGAGACAATTCTGAAATAGAACACATGCTCTGAAATACAGCAAGCATGGCTACAGTAGAAAAATCTGAACCTTTTCTGAAAGGGGCTCTTATTTACAAGAAAGTTGAGAAGTAGTTTTAAAAGTGTTTTGAAGTCTCCAAGAAAGAAAACAATATAACCCTCAGAGAAAAACAGAGTTCACCACGCTGAGTGCAAAAATGCCAGGAAAAGTCATGCTAGCCATTTCAGGCAGCCACGATTCCCAACACTTTTCAAGATGTCTTACTAGAAAAAACTTACCTGAAGAATTCATGTCAGTTTCACAGAAAAACACTTTAAATCCCCAAGTCACCCATTATGTTAGCAGAAAAACGTGGTACCAGGCACCGCACTACTGAAATCATGCACAAACCAGCTAGTAAGCTTTTAAAGTTGTGTTTTGTGTTTTTAAAACAAGAAGTTCTCCCTACACATCCTCCAGCAGCTTTCTTTTAAAAGACTCTTAATATGTTATAAAGGTGAGAAAATGATTGAAAAGATGACCAAAAATGGATACATTATATTTCAGCAGATTTTTGGAAGCCAGATAGAGAAGCATCGTTCTTGTAATTACTTCAAGGAAGACTAAATAAAATTTATGGGTTTAATTTTTATTAAAATAGCACATCTGCATCCGGGGGGTTGCATGGAGGAATCCTGTCCTGTGCCCTGTGGTTATAGTCAATACATGCCTGTTTTTATAGCAGCTGTACATTCGTATGGCTATTTGTATGGCTTTATTATTTAAGTAGCAGCAAGGGATGAGCCATATGTGGCACGTTAAGTGTTCTCTTAAAGCATATTTTATTCTCATCAATTTTAAAAAATCTTTTCTTGCTTTTTTTTTTGAAAAGGAAGATCTATTCATAGTGGGGGCAAGTAGGAGGAACCTGGTAAGAATCTTCCCCATAAATAGAATTTTTAACCACATGCTTTTCAGGATAAGAATCAAACCTTCTTTCTTCTACTTTTCCATTCTTGAAAACACCATAGATTCCCAAACCTGAAAGCACTCAGCTTTGTCACTGTGATTTGGTTTCACACCACGTTTCAATCACTGTCTTAATATCATGACATTCAGTGCTGCATAGTGCAGCTATGAAACTCAGGCTGAATAGCCAGCTTTTCTCATCCTGAGTACCTGGGCAGTTCTCAGCATCAGATGTTTTTCATATGTGAGATGTTGCCCAAAATTTGTTAAATAGATATATTCTCTACCAAAAATAGGCTGGATCCTACGATGATTAATCCTTGACTGAAATGAGAAGTGCAAGATTCTGTCATATTAAGTAGGGATTTTCCTTTTCATGTAAAAAGTCACAATACTTTCAGATACTCAAATCCCAAGACAATTCCAAACAAGTGTTGTCATTGCAAGTTAGTACATGAAAAGGTATGAATTTCTTCAGTTGTAAGCATTACTTATAATTCTGTTAATTCTATAATTCATTGAGTTATCCAGATCAATCTATTCAATACATTTATAAATAATAGACATATACTTCACCCCTTCTACAACATTAACCTTGTGATCAAATGAAAACCAAATTTATTTCCATTTACCCATGAAAAAGGACTTGGTGCCATTACAATGAAGACAACAACCAAATTTTGCTCTTTCAGTAAGAGGAAGCAAGAAAAGAAAATTAAATAACTGAACAAACTGGATATAAACTATATAAAGTAACACGAGAAAAATTACCTGCTAGCTAAGCCCTATGCATCTGTTCATGTCTCCAGCAGTATGACTGGAGCACAGATTCAGTATTTGTGAAATGAATGACAAATCTAGCTGCTTCATCTTTAAAGTGCTTCTGATTAAAAGACACGACAACAAAGTAGGTACAAACATCTGTACATGCAACCAGAAATCTCAGCTTGAATATTCTAATATTAAAGGTGTGCATTTTGGTTTGCCCTTCATATTGAATCTGAAAGTTATTTCAGTCTAAAAGTCTATCACTCAAGCATTACCAATTAAAAGAGAAACTTATTATACAGTTGTTGTAAATAAACGCTGCTTGAATGATAAGTTACTATGAAACAGTACAATAAAATAGAAGTACTTAATGAAAGCTGTATGTAAAACACCTAACTGCTTTTAATGAAGAGTGACACGCAATGGAGAAATCCTACCATAAAGTGTTCTAAAAAGTCAAGCTTTTAAAAGCCTTTACAAAAGTTCAATTCAAAAGTAAAATGTATAATAGTACTTTAGTTCAAAAAAGTAATGTATTTCCATTGTTCTTAGAATAAAAATGACCGGCTTCTAGGACTGATAATTTTCCCACTGAATTCTATGGAAGTAGGGCAAAGCTTTAAAAGGAATATGATATGATTCTGTGTTTAGAAATCCTACTTTAACATACCTTACTTCTACAATTTCTCTCCTCTATCCATTTTTTCCCCAGAGATTTTAGCCTAAAAGGTAGGAAGCTTAAAAGAACATAAGGAGAGAGAAGGTTGTCCAAACTCAGAGCTTGGCTTTCACACAGTGGAGGAATCTGCAAGCAGTACACTTCATCAGTTCAGCAAGAAACACAATGCAATTCTTCAGATTGCTCTTCATTTGACATTCAGAAGCACCAACTTGAAAATTAAGAGATGCAAGTGACACTGAACCAGTGGGGAGACAAAGGACAAAACTTTTCTTTAAGCCTGCCGTATAAATTAAGTAGAATTTTAAGAAGTTTGATGTAGGGTTGAATTTTAGAGTCATTATTAGAAAATTACATATTATGTATACAGGAAAACCCTTCAGTGTCCACTTAATGAAGCTGACAATAACCGAACCAAAACAAATCAGGATACGAAATGCAGGTCTCCTACCAAATAGCCAGTTTTTGCAGACCTGTCATATTGCACTCAGGAAAATAAAGGATATTCTTCCTTGAACACCTTAATACATCAGTGATGGCAATCAGCAATGCCTACATGGATGCTGACTGAAATTGATGGTTAATGCTGGTTTCATTATCAGCTCTGATTAGCACAGCATTCCTCTGTCTCTCTCACCCTGTTAACCAGGATGGTTATGCTGACCTTTATTACATATCTGAAAATCCACAGTTAAGAGCATTTTTTTTTTTTTTTAACATGTAAATATAAACAATAGCAATCATGTACCAAGCTTCAGTTATCAACTCCTCACATGAAAGCAAGAATCTGTTGAATTAGTATACAAAATTCAGTTCTTTCAGTCACATTAGCTTCCTAATAGTTTTACCATTGTCACTACAGCAGCATTATAATACGGTCTACTAAAGAACCTACCAAGCATTGATCAAAACACCAAAGACTTTCCAAGCTTAAAAGAACAAAAGACTCAGGATTTTTTTTCACTGAAAATTTCCCTGTTAAACAAAGACACTTTTGACAAGCTTCAAGCTTAGATGCCACCCCAAATCTGTGGTTTCAATTGTTACAATGGCTCCATTCTAACAGCAAACTGAGAATGTATTTTGCTGTTACATCCTCCTCTCTCCCTCTTCCTCACCCCCCTTCCCCCTCTCCCTCCCTCTCTCTTTTTCTCTCTCTCATTACAGTGGCTGGTCAACAAGGGCATTATTTTCATCAGTACCAGTCAGGCTACAGATTTCTCCTCCTCTTTTCTCCCCACCTATACACTGCTTTCCTTCTCACAGCTGGTTTGCACAATGCCCTTACTCACTCGATATGTTTGATGTGCACATTCTTCTTGCACCTTGTGCTACTTATAAATGAAAAAAAGGTGACAGAATTGATATAAAATCAAGCTACTTACCAACTACTGCCAGATTATGCTCAGAGCCACACGCGATCTGAAAAAGAAGTACGAATGAATGAAAGAGATTCTCCTTATCAGTATGAAGACAACCACAATTATGACAGGAAATTAAAAATTAACCTGAAACAAACAACTATTGTTTGTAGGATGTAAAATCAAGGTTGAAATGACTCAGTTTTAAAGGAAATTTCATTATATATCCCACTTGGGGGCGCAGGGACAGGCAGCATGCTTGTTTTTTTTTGGTAAAAAAGACTTTATTTTCAAGACCTAGTCACATTTCAATCTTTGAGAGCTAAGCTGGACACAAGCCTGCAAAAGCATTCAACAAGGCTATTGGAGGGATGGCAGGGATACAGATTGAGCCTTAGCAAGATGAGAGGTATGCAGAGGCAGTTGGGAATCAAATGGGCGATGAAGAGCTCCATTTCTGTCATCCACACTGTTTTTCATATGATTCCTGTACAAGTGCACAGGTTCATCGTGGTAAACAATGAAGACAACAAAGAAATGCCGTGAAGACATCAGATGTTTAAGCTGCTTTAGCACACATCCCACAGTCTCGTTTGCTGAGCTTTCTCTCAGATCCATCACAAATGATGGAAACACAAACACGTAGGGGGCAGCCACTGCCCTGCTGCAGGGGTTCTCCCTCCCATCAGGCTCTTTTGCAGTGCCAGTGCTGACACAGATGTCTGACATAATAATGACATCACCTTACTCTACAGAGCACCCTCAAGGTTTTTTTCTTTAAATCTGTATCCTGTTCACTGCCTTGCATCTTGCTGCCAATCACATATTACCAAGCTGGAAGAAAAAAAAAGTATATTCTATTTCTTGAAAGTAGATTTGCAGTGATAAAAATACAAAATAGAAATATATATTAAGTTACAGAGTTCTTGTCATCTAAATTATATACCATTTTACACATGCATAACTTTACAGATTGTACTACCAGTGAAACTACAGTGATCACCATAGAATCTGCATAACATAAACCCATACAAGTACCCATAGAAGTTCACCAAACTTGTATTCAGCTCCTTGTTCTTGAGTGCCAGCTGGAAAAAAGCCAAAGCTGGCACACAGATTGTCTCAAGTGATCACGTAACAAATGAATGCTGCAGCCACTACTATGCACCTGCACCACAGCTGTGATGCACTGCTTAGTGCCAGCTTCATGCAGCATACTAGGAAGGTAAACCAGTCTCATTAGGCTGGAGGTGCTGAGCCAAGAAATCAAATCACTTGGGAAGATGGAGCTGCAAGTGTAACGCAGGTGTGTGATGGCCCCATCTCCAGAAAAATCAAGGAAAGGCAGCAGAAATAGCAAAGTCTTTGCAATCTTGAGCAGGGTAGCGTAAAGCCATCCACCCAGCAGTACTGAGGCAGGCAGAGCCCTATGTCCTGACTGGAAAACACACCACTTCTCACCATGTTCCGCAGCACTGCCCTCCCTGCTGCTCTTCGCTCGAAGCTGATGCCATGGAAACACAGATGATGGCTTCCCAGCAAAGAGCAAATCCTGTGCCTTCATCCAGAGCTGAAATGTGAGGATTCTGAAGCTGCTGCTAGTGAAGTAAACCATCAGTTCTGATGGTTGCAAACAATCCCATCTCAGCTAAACTCCTCTGGAAATAAGCTGAACGCAAGCACCAATCCAGAAAACTTTGGGACAAAAGAAGTGCTCAGGCTGGCTCTAGCTTACTGTCCCCTTCAGAAACACTGCATTTCAACCTGGAACCAGGCACAACTGCAGGCTGATGAAGGCAGTGCCCTGCTTCACCTCTGTGTCCAGAGCTGGGGCTGTGGGCACCACATACAGCAGCACCATGACCCAGAAAGGAGCTCACTGTGATTCACACAGAGCATCTCCACTTTGTGGCAGAACATCACCACCAGACAACGCAGACCAATGCCATAGGAACCCCAGACAGACAACACAGCCAAAGGACACTGCAGTCAGCCCTGGGTAGCAGCACTCTCACCAGCAGCCACACTGCTCGCTACGACAGCATGCCTCTGGCTCCAGCCTCAGAGACCATTCTACGGAGGTGAACCAAGGCTGCTGCTGCTTACTGAGCAGTGCTGCCTTGCAATTTTTTTTTTTTTTTTATCATAATAATAGGCTTTAAAATATGGCACCTTTTCTTCATGACCACCCACAACAATCAGCCAAGAACAGTCTGCTGGTACAGATGCAGGGCAGCCAGAGAACAGCACTGTCGAGTTGATGTTTTATGCTTGTATCAGATGTAATAAGCTCTGCAGTCAGCACAGGTCACTAGGAGAAGCCTGGTATTTACTGCAGCAACAGTGATTTTCTGGCTACTTCTTTTCTGTCCCCACCCCCAGCGTGCTGCAGAGAAATTCCAGCAGACATCTGCGTGCTCCCAGCGGACAGATAAATACGTTCAAGGATACTTACAAACACACCATTGCTTTCTAATTGGACAATACTTTTACATTCTGTTTTAATTGAAAAAAATCACTAATCTTACAGCCAAATTGGAGAGACTGCTAGTGAGTGAGGCATTCCGGGAGCCTAAGGAACATGGACAACCCCTCAGCACAGTAACAACCCATATTAAGATTTCTCCTCCACAGAGACAAAAATTTGAGAAAAGTTGCATGAGGATATTGTGATCTGTATATACGACCTCAAAACACTTCACAGACACCTGTGAGGCAGGCAAAGAATGCTCAGAGACCATCTCACCCAGAACCCTCCCTCATAATCCATGTCCTTTCAACTATGCATAAATTGTGTGTTTCTTCCCGTGTTATATGTTAGCAAGCCATTTTCTACCTAGCAATGGTTGTAGTTAAGATGCATCCCTCCATACAGATAAACCAGGAGCAACCAAGGGCCCAGCATTTTACTGTCTCAGACCTTTAGCTGCCTGAGCAGTGAGCAGAGACCTTGTAACAGTGACCTCTAACCTAGGCAAAACAACAGCATCTTTCTGTAGCCTTTTCTAAGTACTACAGCAAAACAAAACAGTATTAAAGTCAAGATTCAGACTGGCACTTTGACCACAAGGCTGTTGTGTTCTTCTGTCTGTACTCCCAGAGCTCAGGCTGAGGATCCACTGTGCCACCCCCATCAGGGAAGGATCAAGGCAGAAGTGCAGGCAAAGCTGCCTCATGCTGCAGCCAAGGGGAAGGAGCAGGACACCAGGACAGGGGCTGAAAGGAAGGGGAAGGGAGCTGAGCTCCCAGAGGAGACTGTGAAAATACACAGGAGTCAGCATCAGGATACTTATCTGAAACAACAAAAGCATCTCCAGACTACTTTTGTTTCAGTGCCCTAACAGTGCAGGTTAATGGCCTGCAGGGTAATTATTTCCCAGAATATTCAAAGTTAGGGAGGCCTCCATCAATTCTCCAAGGGAAGAGCAAGACATACAAAGTCAGTTTCTAAGGCAGAATGAGGATACGGTATTTAAGAAGCTGCATTCAGATTTTAGCCAGTATCATTTCCAACTTCTAAGTGCACAAAACTCAAGAGAGAAAGGAGCAGGGGAAGAAAGCCATTAGGAACGTGTGCACTTAAGTACTTTTACCCAGCGGTTCTGTATAGGCCTTCAGCATGGCACCCCATGCCTTCTAATAAATTTCACTGCAAACAAATTGTCAGCTCCATAAGGTGGCTCATTTTATTCCTCTGGGGATGAGAAGTCCTAAGGGAAGGAGATGAGGTGACTGAGAACCTGCAGCCCGATACTTACATAACACAGAGGGATCCTTCCCTCAGCACTGTTCTTCCATGCCCTTGATTAATGGATTGTTACAATGATTTGTACACTGCCTAGTTGTATTGATATGCAGAATTCTAGTGATGTAAAAAAAAAAAAAAAAAAAAAAAGAAAAGAAAAGAAAGCTAATTAGCCAAACTGTCCTGCTTGCAATGATCCTTCACTAGGAACTCTGCGTTCCTCTTCTGGATCATTTGACTCCTGATTGATAAGAGCAGCTCACTAACCTCTTCACAATCCTTGGCAAGAACAAGGCTAAGTGCAGTATAATACAGCACATTAGCAGCAAACCAGTATGACCTCACCTAGAACAGCACATCAAACTTCTGTTGGCTGTATCAACTGAAAATGTCCTACAGCTCAGTGACTTACAGCTCACTTGGCATTTTCCATCCCCTCTAATCATCTATCTAGGATAAATTTTTTTGTTGTTGTTTGGTTACAATGACACTAAAACATATTTTACGTGTAAATAATATATAATATATATTATAAAATCCCATAACAGCAAGAAAATTCACAATTAAAACAGTGCACAGAGGCCCAAAAGAAAATTTCCTTCTCCCAGACAAATCTGACCTACAGCTCCTCTGCCACAGGAAGATCAAGACATCAGCAGGATGCAGTAAGCCTTCAAAATAAAGATTCAAAACTCTTTAGAGTGCTAGACCTGTGGTTTATGTGTTCCCTGCCTGAAATTAATTGCAAACCTGCCTTCACTTGTGCTCAAGATACAAAATGAAAAGTGCAGCATTTCCATTGCTTCTCCATCTACTGTTTCAGAGTCTCACCTCAATGTGGTCAATATCCTGCCCTTCCAAACATCTCATAGCTTCCAAAAAGCCAGCTGACCAACCCCAAGATCTTGCCTTTACATCCTCCATGCCTTAAATCACACAGATTTAAATCCCTGCACACACACTCTCGCTGACATGAACCAGATGTGCCAAACCGTGGTATGCACTCACTCACTGAGCACTGTAAATCCAGGACCAGGTTCTTGGGGGTAACAGGACCCAAGTGCACTTCTGATTCACTTGGTGCAGCTTAGATATCAGGCACTTGTAGGAGATGGGAACAGTTACAATTTCAAGGTAAAAGGAAAAAAAAAAAAAAGTTTCTTAGTTTTAGTTAAGTCCCACATAAAGCTATCATTACAGAGATCAAGTACAGAAATCACAAAATTAAAAGGAAGAAAGAAAAACTTCAATTGTCAAAACATTTCCACTGAATCTTCACATCACACCATCCCCCACATGTACCCATAGGGTCTACT